GGGGGGGGGGGCGTACTCTTATGTTTTGCATGCCTTAACGGTTAAACCATGATCACCCGTCCTCCAAAGGACGGAGCGAGCATTGTTCCCACAGGACCGAACACCGATGGCCAATCGTTCCTTCCTACTTTGCCAAAAATTGCTCAAAAAATGTCTTCCCTAGTCTGTCTATCCTAACGATGTCCCTTCCCGCCTTTTCAAACCACTTCCTACTCCCCACTACAGCTACCGTCCTCTCCTCTCTATTCCATGCCTCAAACATCTCCCTGTACGTCCCTTGTATTTTTCCCAGCTCAGTCATGTACACTTCCCTCTCCTCTTCGTACCACGGAGGGGCCTAAATATTCGGTGCGCGAAAATTCGGGTGGGCGGGGTGCGTCCCGTACCTACCTCCTGTCATACGATGCGGTAAATTGTGTCCGCGACCGACCTTAATTCAAGCGGGGAAAGCCGTTGTTACTGCTTTTGTGCGAGGAGAAAACTAACTGAGAAAAGAGAGGGAATCCCGTTTTTTTGCTGCGTACACCAGAAAGACGTACTCTTATGACTGATATTGGGCGGGGACAGAGCGGCCGGTGTGTGTCGACATTGAAGGAAGTGGGATGAAAAATCATTGCTAGTCTGTGAAGGGCGCGGTAGGTTGTTCAATGGAGAAAATACGCTTCGGAAAGAGCCAGCAAAAGATGTGTAAGTGTCGAAAATATCTTACTATTGGGCAAGCTGCCCCGTGTTTACGTGAAAAGGAGGCAAACCACTCCCTCGTCTTGGCACCATGTGTCACATGCTGGTTTTTTCGCGCAGAACAGAGGCCCGAGACGCTGTCGTCGGTTTTATTTCACTTCTTTCAAAAACAATGGTACACAAAAACAATACACAGGGTCTGTTGAAGTTAATTACCGTTCTCAACAAAACACTGCACCACCGCAAAACAACGGGAAAGGACACGACACATATGCATCTCAACGGACAGGAACCACGCAAGAAAACGTCGACACGTACACCGCTGCCTGGGGCTACTACACAAAAAACAGCGTGAGTATTCCCAAAACTGCCACACCTCGCCTGCCCTCCCTATCGCGACTTGTTTTTCGAATGGGTGACCCAGCAGAGTGAGGCTATTTGAAGCAGTTTCAGGCGTGAGCTCAGTACGTCAAACAACCATGCAAAAGCTCTCTACACTACACCATCCATCAATACAAGAAAGCCGCAGGCCACGGACCCAACGTTATCACGCCAACAGATAAATTGAGGAGCAACTCACCGAAAATCCAACGATCATCAAAACAACCAAGCATCGGGCACGATGCCTTCATACACGGTGCAACAGAGAGTGATCTTTCCTAAACGCTGACAACAAATACACCACACAATACCTCAGCATCCAGACGAGATTGCGGGGACAACGCGAATTTCAAGCGGTCGTAGCAGGCAAGAAAAAACATGAGCGCGTCAGAATTTCCAGGCACGCACCAACTCATCACACGTTCGTTGCACCGCACACAACGAGTTCAAGAGGTATGCTACGATTTCTCAACAAGTACGCACACTCGTGTTGACCCCACACCTCCACGCAACCGTTTGCGGCTTCCGCGACACAGATCCAGGAATAGCAACACCAGCAATCATCCTTTGCCAACCAGGTTCAAGTCAATGGGAATCCAAGCAGCTGAGCCACCCGCATGACGTCAGCGTCGAACGACCGCAAAACCACAAGGTCAAAATTGAACGGGGGAGTGGGTGAGGGGGGAGAATGGAGGTATTTCCCCGCATCATGTCCCCAGAAGCAGCTCGACAGCAATCGCTGTGCTATCGAAATGACGAATGCAAAAACGTCCAGTGCCAGGGGTAACCAAGGCGAAGACCGCAACGGGGCCGTGTTCAAGCTGCTGCATCTCGAGAAAAGTCAACGCCCTTCTTGCCCATCCTTTGTATTTGATGAGTTGCTCTTGTCAAGGATCAGGACGCGGTCGGGGGAAGCGGGGGAGGCCGCCAAAGGTAGCAAGCACCTGTTGGTAGATGGCACGAGAACGTCGGGGAAATGATTGGCCACTTGAGTGAGACACACGGCATCTTCATGTATCGGTCTCCGGAGAAAAGGTGGGCGACAGCATGTAGGCTTTGACTCAAATTGAAAAAGGTTTCAAGGACAAAATCCATCGTGTCGTCGGATACACTACGTGGGGAGAGAACACCCAAGTAATGCAAGCTGAGCAAACTCATGGAGACAACACCCCTCCCCCCATCTCGCAAAGGGATTCCAAGTGCTAGCGAGAATGTCACCCAACTTTATTCGAATTATGTTCGGTAACTGCATGCAGCGTCCGTGAAAAGTGAAAAAAGAAGAGAGAGCGTCAGAAGTAGAGGATTTTCTCACGGTGCCTGTGGCACTCCGAAGGTGTCCTAAGTATTCTGTAACATCACCCGCTCTCTCTGTCTTGTTTCAGGTTTCCGAGGTGCACGCGTCAGTTGGACCAGTACGGACATCAGAAGGTACTGAGCGGAGAACGGAACGGTCGGTTTTTAATGTGAAGACGGCAACAATGCCCAAAAATAAGTTCACCGCCCGCTGCTCTGTGTGCTTTATGCTCCCGTGGACGTGAGCGAGAAAACATGGGATGAAAACACATGTTTGTACATCCTGCTGCTTTATTAAAATGCGCTCGACTGGTTTTCTGTCCCGCGTCCTCCTAAAAATTTGTCTACAAAATTCACCACGGATGGTATATGCAAGATGTTTTGGCATTTTACATCGATGGCACACAATTTTTTTAACGATCTTCAAGTACACCACGAAAGATCTTTGTTTTCCACGACAAATTCGACAACTGCATCAGACGAGAGCACCATCCAACATAACGTAGAGGCCATACTCTCGCTGGCGTCCCCACTTCAACGAAATTACTTGGGTCCACATAATACTGAGAAAACAAAATGGACAGCTGCAGAAATGTGGGGGCTTGCTTCTCAAGAATCCCTTCCGGCCAACGCATTAAAAGAGGAATCGATCCTGCGGTTGGGTGGAAAACAGATAGCTTCTTGTTGACCGGGTCTCCGACTCGACTCATTCAGCCTTGACCACGCAACAGGAAAGTGTAAAAGCCAGACATACGTAACTGCATGGGTTTACATCACATTACAGCAACATCTCAAGACTTACATTCTAAGTCGACACCATGTGCAGGAAGCACAACATGACCAGCAGCAGCAGCAGCAAGATGTGCATCCGTACGCGCCAGGGTACCAGAACACGCACGAAGAGTTGGCAGCCGTCTCGAGGTGCAACCAGCTCTCCTCTTATCGGCTTCTTCGAACGGCAGCACGCAAGCACCAAAGCAGCGACAAGAGCAAGGCAGGCAGGCGGGCGGGCAACAACACAAGCAGAACCCGAACAGGGAAACGCCGTACATGCAGCAGCTTCCTGCGCGACCCTGGTTTGAGCAAGCGAGCGTGACAAGCATCAGAGAGAAGAGCTGTATCTACCTCAAGTACAGCCTGCTGTGGGGCCAAAAGTCAAGGCGGTGCAATTGAAAAACGGGTTTGAGTGGCCACGACGAGAGGCGGGTCAAATTGGGCAAAGAAGACTCCGTTGTCTCCCAACTTCGGTCAGCCCTCTCAAGACCAGACGCACACTTGTGCTACCAAGATAAGCATGACCAACATGTCTTAACGCGGTGGCGGTACCAAGCAACCCCAAGGCGCGGGAGCAAAATGCCCGCGCTCTGCTTCCCACAGCACTCTTGACAGAAGACACACACATTCCGCCTGAAGAAACGAGACGCCAAACAACCACACGTCTGTCACACGTACATTCCTCACCATTCCGCGCCCAAGCAAGAGACACAGGTCATCAAAGGGTGGAAGCCGTGGCGGCGGCAGCAACGCGGTGCATGTGCTATGCACGCGTCAAGAGACACGTGCAACAGCAGTAGCAGCACTGGCAACCAAGAAGGGCGGGCGGGCGCATTCTCTTTTTTTGTCTTGTGAGCCACGGAAACGCGGCAGGTAATCCCCGTCGAGTTGGCGCCGGCACGGCGGAGGCGCCGACGCTGACTGCATTTCTATGCTGTGATGAAAACGGCCCGAGCGCCCGGCTAGGACTCCGAGAGGCGAAGCAGGAGGAGCGCACGCCGCCCGAGAGCGACGACACCCCACCTGCCACCACCACTCATCTACGCCGCATGTTGCCAGGGGCGCTCGAGGGTTGTTCCGGGTTCCGGATGGCACTCTCTGCCCAAGTATCCGGGGAATTTCCCCAGGCTAGACACCTCCTCCTCCCAGGGCTGGAGGGGTTGCAGCCTCTGGGGTGCAGGAGGAGGCCGCCCGATAGCAGTCCGTGCTGCGTTCCCGTGACTGAACAAGGGAGGGCCGAGCGAGGGGCGAGGGCGGCAATCCGAGGGGATCAACAGATGGCTATGTAAATGTTGACGGGTACAAGCTGGTGGGGAAAAACGCGCTATCTGCGTTGCCTCAGCCGCCGTACCGACATACACCCACCGACTCCCTGCTCGCTGCCCTATGCTCTGAGCACTTGGTGGTTTGTTGCCCAGTAGGCTCGTCTTTCTGCCTACTTGTGTGTGCCTCGGGCGAGTTTGTTTCCAACCGAAAATACCCAGTGTTTTTCGTGTGAAGGGCTCGATCGTGAAGTGAAGGACGAGGGACGACGATCATATCATGGACTGGGAAGATCACGATGGCGGCTCTCCCGAGGAGGGCGAAGCTGGCAGGGACGATGAGGTACAGGGGGTCTTCAACGTCCCAGCGATGGCCATGGGGCAGGTGTTTCCGGGCGAAAGCGTCGTGACGTCGATGGATTTCCATGAGGATGGGGAGCTCTGCGTGGCGGCGAACAGCGACAAGTGAGTGTAAAAGCTGCGCTTTCGATCCCTGCTGGCACCTTTCCATTCAAACACCATTCCTGTGAAGGACGATCTACGGGGCTTGTATTTAGCTATTTGGCTGGCGAGATAGGCGGCGGGACGTGGGTGCACGTAACTTCGGTCTCGCATGGTGGAAACAACCCATGGTGGATGCTTGTGTTAAGTGTAGCAGGGCTTCGAAAAACAAGGAGGCAATCGGTAGCTATGCAATACCACCAATCCCTACCGGAGCAGGGCAGCAGTACTGCTGTAGCTCTGTCCGCGGCGTTTGCTAAAGCAATGCTCACACAACATGAGTCGTTTCTTTCGCCTTGAAGGGTAGGGAAGAGGTGCTGGTTAGCCGGATAGAGGCCAGTTCGATTTCTCAAGTGAATCAACAAACAACAATCGCCACCATCCGTGTTGCGTTGTACTATTTATATGTATATGCATACCATACATTCGTGGAGCCGGTTTTTCAAGTTTGGTTCTCTCTCGCGTGCATGTACTAGTACGGCTATTGTTATCGACCAATAAAACACGAAAAACAAAACGGAACCGTGTTTTCTTGAACACATATGGAGGCGTTTTTCCCCGAAAACGTGAAAAGAAGGAGCCGGGATTTTTGGGTAGAGCACCCATAAATAGGGCATTTTTTTGTAAGACACGGAAGAACTTCCAACAATTATCTGTGTTTTAGAGGGGTAGAGCCGGGTAGATGCCTAACTCCCACCAATCACCCGTCGAGTTTGTAAGACATTTTGTAAGACAGAGACAGATGATTGGGCGATGGGCACGACGCTCTCGGCAGAATCACTGAAATCCTCTCGCACAGCAGCACCATACACATCACGTAGACAACATACGATACAACCAGCACAGCAGTATACGGACTGCTGTAGGCCAAGGGCAGCCAAAGGCATACATCATGGGAGGCGTTGGGTGGGACTCTTGCGGCCCTTTGCCTGCTGTCGGCAGCACAAGCGAGTGACGACGCAAGTCAACCCGCGGTCCGTCTGCATCATCACCCTCAACCTACCGATCTTTGGAGCTTCCCGCACAGACGCATCCCCACAACAGAGAAAACGAGGCCTACACACTGCTGTAGGCCAAGGCCGGCCAAAGGCACACATCATGGCTGGCGTCGGAAGCTATTTTTAGACCCCGAGGCCTACTGCTAGCAGCGTAAGCGAGGGAACACGCGAGTGCACACAAGTCAGATCTATGTCTGCTGTCTCTTCGTCTGCCGGCCGATCTTTGCTTCCACAACAGACGCACCCCAGAAACAGAGACAAGTGAGACGTACACAGCGCTGTAAGCCACGGGCGGCCAAATACGCACGTCGTTGGAGGGTTTGGCCCAATTTTTAGAGCCTGTTGCCCTCTGCTAGTAGCGAAAGCGAAGAAAGCAAGTGCGCACCCATGCACAGCAGCAAGCAGCAGCAGCAGCACTGCTGCCGCTGAGCTGATGATGATGAGAGCTAAACAGCTCTCCCATTCATCCCCTGATTGACTGGTGGTATCGGGTGAGGTGTGAGCGTGCGCACTGGTGACCTACGTGGTGGCGTAGGTTCCATCCATATATATCTACGCTTGCTTTGATGTCTCTCTCCGACCCTTCTTTTCGCGCTTCGCGCGAAATAATTTAATTTTTTTGTACCAATTCCGACGGTGGTTTGCCCCAACAAGTCAACGCGATCCACAGCAATTGAGACTTGGACGTGACCCACACCTCGTACTGTAAGTACAAGTCTCCACAGGTGGTTTTCTCAACCCTTGAAAACGCGCTTTCTCGGACCCGGGGGGGCAACTATACACCACGGAACACAGGCAATCGACAAGAGAAGCGCTGCTAGAGCTGGTCCATCCAGAAGCAAAATTTTTTGTCAGGCCGCCGCTGCCATACCCACCTCCAACCCTCACTGCTGGACGTGTGGAGTACTATTGCATAGCGGTGGACGTCCTTTCTTTCTTGTTTCCCTCAATGGCTCAAAATGTTGACGCCTAGCCCTGTCCGCCGCATCTGCGCAATACTTCCACGTAACCGTGCAATTTCCCATGCCTTGTTTTGCGCCCTGCTTCGCGCCCGGTCTGGCAGGAGCGTGACTCTGATCAACGCCGTGGAGGGTCGCAAGAGAAAAACCATCCACACACAAAAGTACGGCTGCGGGGTGGTCCGCTACACTCACCACGATCAGGTGGGGGTACAGTAGAGGAGCCGCCGGTCGCCACCTTATCCTGCCGCCTTGTTGTCGTGCTGCGGCAACATCAAATATCCTCACTCGATGCTTTGGCCCGATCAAGGCCATCGTAATGATGGCGTGGTTATGCTAAATAGTAAGGTGTTTGTCACGCTGTGTGTGACGGACCGCGGGGGTCATCAAAGTTGTGTGGTATGTTCGATCGTATTTCTCTTCAAATCGTAGCTGCTGATACCCCGATGTGTTTTTAGCTTGGCAGTGCCGTGAATCGCGAACCCTCATGAACGTTTGCTTTCGCTCGCACGACTTCCGTTCCTTTGAGGTAAGGCCACCACTCAGGGCACGGGGCAAACAATCGGACAGCCGACGCGCGAAGAGTTTGACCGCCATGATGCATTCCGTACTTTCGTGTTTTAGTTTCTATTGATCGGCGGATTTTGCTTTCCCACAGGGTCGGTGTACATCGCGGTATCTGCACGCCACCTACTTCTGCACAACACTACGTGCATGCTTCGTATTGAAGTCGGGTTCTCTCGGTACAAACGATCCGGGTCACGCCCACTCCTTGGCCAACACGACAGAGTCCTCTTCTCTCACGTCTCTATCCCCATGCCTCATCCCCCCCTCCTTCTCGCCCTTATTAATCGGCCGGCACCCCTCCCGACCCGAACATAGACCGTGCTGGTGAGCTCGGACGCGGACGGTGCGGACCATGCCGTGCGATACTTGTCGCTGTACGACAACCGCTTTCTCCGATTCTTCACCGGGCACACTGACAAGGTTGTCTCTATCGCCATGAGTCCCACCGACGACCACTTCATGACCGGCTCCGCGGATAAGTGAGTGACAGTGAGAGAGACAGAGAGAGAGAATCGGGGACGCACCGAAACGAAAGAGAAATGTCGTGTGGAGACGGTTTTTTACAACTGCTTGCCACTACCAGCACGCTTTCTGGGCACAGTAATGCGACCGACCAATCATTCTCCGACCTATTTAGCGAAAAACATGTTTGGACTGTGTTACCTGTACCGTTGTGCTCTAGCGAGCGTCTAGCACGTATTCCTTCAGACGACGTGCTCCCCCCCCCGTCTAACCCCACGGCCCCGCCCCGCTTTTCCGTTGTTCGTGGGTCTCTTCTCGGCCGGCACGATCGATTTCGTGGGGCGATCTCATCCACCGACCACGCCAGGACCGTACGATTATGGCACCTGTCGAGACCACAGTGCCTGGCGGTGCTGGAGTTTCCGCCTGGCCACGGAACGCCGTACGTGGCGTACGACCAGCAGGGGTTGGTCTTCGCGGCAGCTACCTCCACCGGCAAGGCCAACATCATCAAGCTGTACGATGCACGAAATGTGAGAGTCTGGTTCCTGTTGCCAGCAGAGACCTTTTTGACTGATCCGCGGCGTGATTCATTGTGGTCATGACCACCGTTTTTGTGTGGGGTTTGATTTCCCGCATCGTTGGAATCTGCTTCAAGAGTAACATTTGTCGTTGTAGACGTCTGGTGCACTGCTCTTCATGGGACCCAAGGAGTACCTAGTTGGTGCTCGCGTCGTTGTCCTGTTATGACACGGACGATCGATTTCGTCGTGGTCGCTGTCGGTGGTTGCCTGTCGATTTTCGTAATCGGAATCGATGGACCTGCCAACCCCGTCCTGTTGTGGTCGTCCATCTGCCCCGACTATTGTTCCGTCCGTGAAAAATAAATGTTAGTTCTGTTCGTGGTCCAAAAATACGCGAAATGACCAAACGCTCACCTTGTTCGTTCGTTCGTGCATTCTCTTTGCGATACTGCTGTACCTCTCCTCGCGTTTTGTTTTTTACCATGGCGTTGCTGCCGGCGGACACGACAGTACGAAAAGGGCCCGTTCGACACGTTCACCGTGGAGCATAAGAAGGTACGATGCTGAGTACGGCGGCGCCTTGGAGCGATACGGTACGGTAGGGTACCGGCAGTCGTCGCGCGCTTGTCCGTTCAACTCGTTAGCATTGCATCCCTTTCCTATCGCCCGTGGTTTATACGCCAATGTCCCTTTTCCTCCTGCCCGTGGTGGTATGCCCACCAATCCTTGACGTCCGCCCCCTCCACGACAACAACAGCAGCTCCAGTCCGCGGCCGCGCTACTTAGTAGTTTCCTCTGCGGTGTGTGTTGGTATGTCTTGAATCTTTGGTCGCGGGTGTTGCGGCGTGTTTGTACTGCGCTGTACCGCTCAGGTCTGTGCCCCATGCGTTTTCTTCCGTGGCACTGCACTCACGAATACTGCTATGCTGACCTGTTTGTTTCTTGCCTGAGTGGTTTTCATCGCCGCTGCTGCGCCACTTCGTCGCACCCCGTGCACTTGGTTTTTCGCGAACGTCGCGGCAGAAAGTTTCTCGCGCAGCCTCGCAGTTTTTCTTCTGACCCCGAAGCGGGGGGCTCTGGGGCAAGACTTGAGTATTCGCACGCACCCTCGTCCTCCGTGCTTGCGGTCATCCTCTTGGCTGTGATCATATAATCGTGCACACGCACACACAGCTCGGACTCGGTACTTAAACCAAGGATGATGAAGCAAATATTATTAATAAACCACGAAGGAGGAACAACAATGAAGCGAGCGAAAAGCGGGTAGCCGATAGTGATACAAAACGGCGTTCTGTTGCAACACGTGTGGCGCAAGGTGGAGGAGTTCATCGTGAAGTCGAAGGAGATGCGGTCGAAGAAGGCGAGGGCGCTGTCGCTCGCTCGGTGGAAGAGCATGAAGTTCAGCGCGGACGGACAGAGCATCCTGATCGCCACGGACGCGAGCCTGGTCCTGACGCTGCACGCATTCGAAGGCGACGTTAAGCAGGTGAGGTTGGTTTTGCCAGGAGTGCTGGTGGTGGTTGTGGTTGGGCATGCCTGTTTGCTAATAGTCGTGGTGGTAGTGCTTCTGGGTTCTGTGTTCACACGGCTTCTAAACCGTGCCCTTCGGAATCCGTCCTGGTGGCCTTGCCTGTCGACGGTTTCGGCGGTGGGGAAGATGAACCAACGGGACATTTCACCATGAACATTTTAACGACGTGGTAATTGTTTCGATCGTTGCTTTCTCTCTGTTAAGAGAAATTCCAGCTTGAAAGCACCGCGTCCGTTAGCCTTAAAAATAGCCGAACACGTTCAAGTAATACTGCATCATAACTTGGAAATGAGGCGAGAGACTGGTCCCGGTTCTGTGCCACTCAACCATCGCCTGACGGCATTGATGGGGGGCGCGTCCTGTTTATTGGGTACGAGACAGCCGCAACGTACAGCACGGGTTGTTTTTATGATCGACATGACGTTATGCTAGGTTTTATTCGAGCGAAGCGAGATTTCTTATCTGCCCTGAGGCCTCGCCGCAAAATAGGGCTCCATCCCCCCCAAAAAGTTTGCCACATCTGTTCGATTCATCTAGGTTTTAGACTACGGTACATCACATGATTTTAAAGGGGGTTCAGTCAGCACATTGTTTTTTTCAGACCACACAGCGGATTGCAGCAGAGAACACACGCACAGCAGACAGCGTACGCATAACAGGTGACACACACGCATAGCGGGCGACGGCATCTGGGCTCCATGCCGCTGGACTCTCTGGGGTGTGATGAGGCTATATACATGTATTGCTGTCGCGCATGTGTTTTTTTTACTGACGCGTTCAACTGCCAGCAATGTGAGCACAGCCCCACATTAGTTCTCGAATCCTAGGACGCCGATCGCCATCGCACCACTTCGAGCGTGTGCTCCATTGTGGTGTCTCTGGGCGTGATAGTTGCGTTGGGTATGGTGCTGTATGTGGCGAGAGCATCGTGGCGATGTGAAACCCGGTTTGGCTTTTTCGCCTGGCGATGCGGCCCGATTGCCCGGGCAAAAAAGAACGATTTGGATTCCACGCCGTCACGAAGGTCTCCCCACACACAGCACCCATGCCTAACACAACTGTCACGCCCCGAGATGTCGCGATGGAGCACATGCTCAATGTGCCATGACGATTAGTGCGCTAGGTGACGAGAACTGACTTGTGTCCAGCTGTTTCGCTGGCAGTTGGAAAAACACCGAACCGAAAAGAGGGAACAGGGGGTTCAGCAATAGGATGCGGGGAGTACATTTTTTTTTTTCTTTCTCTCATCATTGGACTCTGTCGACTGCCCCTCTGGCCCCCATCTTCCACTTCTACTAGCTAGACGACCCAACCGAGGTCACATACGAGGGGGGGGTTGGACCCCCTCCTGCGGTTCCTGCCTGAGATATTTTTACCGCGAGAATGGTACAGCAATTCCTTCCCTCGCGACTTATGAAGTCGATTTAGTTTACTAACAACGAGCTTTGCAGCGCGTCGCTTCCAACCTAGACCAGGATTTATGTAGTGAGAAAAAGAACTCCCTTTGCCGGGACTCGAACCCATGACCTGGCCCTTAGCAGGCTGCGAGGGTACCCACTTGACCACCGGGGCGACCGGGGGTTGGATGACCACGAAAGCGGGATGTGGACGGGGGGGGGGGTGTACTCATAGTCGTGCATGCCGTAGTCGTTTGACCATTGACCTCGCATCCCTACAAAGCCGGGACGGAGCACGCCGGGTTCTCACCGGACCAGGCTCTTACATCACCAAGCGCGAAGCGCCGTGAGGTATTTGGCGAGTCGCATGAAGGGTGCGCTGCATCCTGCTAAGGGTGTTCGGCATCTTGTGCTTACTTCCTTGCGTACGGATGACAGCTACGTATGACTTAATTTATTTTCTGGTGCTTTCACTTCCAGAGACAGTTGTAAGCACTGTGTAACTGCCTCGAGGAAGCTTGACCATTTTGACACAACGTGGTGCGATCATCCCCCGTTGCGCGGAGTGAGGGTTCTCGACCCCGCACAACATGATCTACTCGACCACCATTCATGGTTACCGCCAAAAAAAAAAAAACGAGGTAAAAAAAAAAAAAACGGTAACCTGGTTGCCGAGTTCACGAAGTGACTTGGCTTGTTTTACAACGTCGTTGCCAAGCGACGAAAATGTGGACGGGGGGGGGGGTAACCGGTAGGTGAAAGTTAACGTTACCACAGCTCTCACACCAGCGCACAGCAGGTAGGTGTAGTATTAAGTGTGTGGTGTTTGCCCTCTGTTTCCGCCCGTGGACGCACACGTCTGACGACAGTTACATCTATCAGCTGTCGCTCGTTGTAGCGACAGCTAGTATATCTTCACGCTACAGCAGTATCTAGAAATGTCACAGCTTTTTACTGCTTCGGGCCAGTAACGGTGCCGCGAAACACGGCAGCACAACAGGAACCGCGTCACCGCAACATTTTTTTTATTTCCTGTGACAGTCACAGCATTGCGCGCTAATTTCGCAGTTCCCACCACGCCCTCCCCGCGATACTTTCACCTCTGCGCACCCGCTTGCTACCACGTACGCGCGACTGCAAAATGCAGGTGTTCACCGGGCACCAGAACGACCTGCACTCGGAGCTGGACGCGTGCTTCACCCCGAACGCGGAGTACGTCCTGTCCGGCTCCGAAGACAGCGGCATCTACGCCTGGCGCGCGGAAGACGGCAAGCTGGCCAAGATTCTCAAGGGGCACTCGTCCGCGGTGGGCAGGGTGCTGTGCAGCCCCAAGTACGAGGTCATCGCGAGCGCGTGCACGAACACGGCGCTGTGGATAGACGCGGGTTTGGAGCCCGGGCAATAGCTTTTGATCTGTGGGTGTTGTCTTTTTGTGAGGCTACGCCTGCTCTCTTCCGATGTTCGCATGAAGAGTCTCTGGCGTTTGATGGAACGAACCGTGTCTCGTAACTTTGTGCTGTTTATTACTCCTCTCTGTAACAATTATTTTTTGGTATTTTTTTTTGCCGGAGACTGTGCAGAACCCGCGGGTTTCACCGTGCAGGTCAACCGCGCGAGTCAGGGCCACAAATAGTGGCGGGTCGTTCAAAGTGACCCATGACCCGACCATGCTTTACGGGTCACGACCTTACCCGCGGATCAGTTTTTGACCCGTGGAATGGAAGGAGCACATACATAATGGTGAACGTTGAATGCAGTGTTCGGTTTTTTGCCGCGGCCATCTCGTCTGGTTTGTTTTCTGCCGCAACAGCTAGTGGTGCTATGCGGGCAACCTCTCGACTCCCTAGCGGCAGGTGTGTGGGTTCGATTCTCTCTCAGATGTTTTCTTTTCCAAGATTTATTTCCGGATAACCTGTGGTTAAAAGCGGTCTAGGTCGGAAGTAAACATACGTTGGCTTCACGGTCGACGAGGGAAGGGATGGCTGAACCCTTCTCGCGATGAAAACTAAGGCAAGCACGCACCGCAAGGGACAGGTGGGGCAAAAAAAATAATCTGAAAAAGCTCCTGTGTGGTGTCACCCCGGCTGATGCGTCAGGTACATACGCCGAAAGGCCTGTAACCGGCGCCAGAATAGATGGGACGAACAAGCATACACAATACGAAATGCTTTACCAACTGAGACGCCCCGAACCTGGCCAACCCTTCTCCCACTGCGATAGAGCTGTCAAATGGCGATGGGCGCCCGCGCTAATACCATGATTTTGCAAAAATACCATGATCTGTAAAAATATTCCTCCCCCCCAAAAGGGTAAAGACAATCTTCTAGTCAGAAAGCGTGCACGCCGTGCTATCATACGACTCGATACAGATGTACAGCACAAGCGGTCTACTGCAAAGGGGGTCCTACAGACTCCAACTTGAGCTTGATATTGCCGAGCACAAGAAGAAACTACGAAGAAAAATAGAAAAAACTTTTCGTCTGCTGCTTTACTAGTGAGAGCCGCCGTTGTTGTTCCGAAAGCGGGATTTTTTCATCCATCATCACGCTTCAATCATCGATACAAAGTGAGCGACTTTCTTTATCCGGGTAGAGCGCATACAAGGACACAAGCGCGCAAGTCGCGTACCAGTAGCTGCCACATCAACGCCAAACATACTGAGGCGCGTACGCTCGCTCGCACGGACGGAACAATTATCACCAACCAACGGACCAAGAAATAAAACACAACTAGCCCATACAAGACGAGAGGGTCAACAGCAGGGTTGCCGAATGGCACCCTGGGGCAGACATGAAATCATCACACCAAAAATTATACAACACGTACAAAATACTTCGAGAATACGCGGCTTCGGAAGCCAACCAACGGCGTGGGACATGATATGCCATCATCCCATCCCTTGGTAGCCCACCCAGACATCATCAATCAATGGAATAACGTGTTTCCTCGCGCCAGGAACAGAAACGTCACGAGCGCGCTCACGCAAATAAACGCGACGACCCCCAGAGCGACCGTCCAGGCCACGGCTTCCGTTGGCCCACCCATCGCCTCCAAAATTTTCCCCGTCCACGACACCCCCACGACCCCGGCTAGGGTGCCGGCACCGTTCGCGATTGCCATCACGACCCCGGCATGTCGCGGTGCGATGTCCATGTGATTGACAGCCCAACCCCCGCGTGACAAACCAAGCGCCGACAATGCCATGGTGGTGTACAAGACACCATCCCTCCAGTGGGTCGCCCGAGGCATGAGCAGGAGCGACAGGGGGGCCAGGGAAAAGCCCAGGGTATTGACGAACTTGCGGGAGAATACGATGGACCTGCCGAGGGAGACGTGCGCCCACGCGCCCAAGGACCCCCCTGCGTTCGACGCTAGGAACATCATCACGTACGGCATCACCTGTCGACGTTTCGTGAGAGCGCAAGTTGCAGAGGAACAGCATTGAGAAAGGAAGGAGAGTATGAAGGAAGCAAGTGCGCGATCGTGTTGCTACCAAGTATCGCCACGGGCGTACAAGCAGGGACCGCGGGGACAGGCCGAGATATGCCTTTCGTCATTACTCCAATGACATGGTACGCGGAACAGAAACACAGGCCACCATAGCCTGCGCGTTGCTTTGACGAGCTCGCACATGACCAGGAGAGTCTAAACAAAATGGCCAACGGTGTAACGCAAAAATTCCACATTTTTCGCGAGGATCGACCATGCAGCTGCTATAGTACAGGCTGGCTTCATGTCCGTCTACCACGACCTTGAGCAAGCGGCACGGCGACAAGATATGATCCACGGTACCATGAACGTCCACCGGGCGACAGCGATCAAGCGACGTGGACTGAATTGTTCGCCGAAAAAAGAAAACGACAAGCTGATGGCAGTATAAACACAATAAACATTGCAAGAAGCAGCAAGAGCGAAATTCATATCTACGCCGTTTAGGCCCACACAGGCCTCCCAAGCCTAGACATGGTGCGGATACAAGCCGTTTTTTGGAGGCAATCTTTTTGCCAAAACTGAAAAATAGATACGGGAAGAAACAGAAGTCATTCTAACGCTTGAGAACGCTTACCGTGTACCAATTGCTCATATCCGACAGCCCCACGCCGATGTGGTCCTGAAAATAGGTGGGCAGCCAGTTCATCAGGACGTACGTGGCGTAGTGAAAGGCGAAGTTGTTCGTCACGATGGCCCACACCGCCGAGCTCCGGATCAAGATCCCCCACGGAACGCCCGTGCCGCCGTCCCCCTTGCCGCAGCTCCTCCCGTGTTTGGAATCTCTGCCTCCCCCCCCCCCCGCACCGCCGATGGCACCGCTGCTACTGCTGTGGCTGCCGTGGGAGTGCAGGAGCGGCATCGGGTCCTCCTTCTTGTTAAACGGCGGCACCGCCTCCATGCTCCCTTCCTCGACCCGGGCCGGTGAGTGCGACCCGCTGCTGCTGCTGCCGCCGCCGCCGCTTTCCGGCGGCTGATCAGACCCCACCCTCCACCACGTTGTCAGCCACACCAGGGCCATGAGGCCGGAAACTTGGAACTGCATGCCGGGCCCGAATTCCTCCACGATGTAGGGCACGAACAGCATCGCCAGCGCAGAGCCAAGGTACCTGTCGTTCGCCCGGCCATTGGCCGTGTCGCCGTGAAACAAGACAAATCAAAATAGGAGAGTGAATGGAAAGGGGAGCGATAGAGTCAGGTTTCGTTGGATAGCTGTTGATACATGTATTCTTTTGCCGAGAGTTATGCTGCGGTCAACCAACCATGGAGTTTGTCGCGTACATCAAGTTTCTCTCGTACTTCTGTATGTCGAATGCCATAGTTTGTATGCAGGTGGAAGATTCGGGTTTCGGTTTCCTTTGGTTGGAGCAGGCAGTTATTCCTGCAAAGAAAAGGCCGATGGATTAGGGTCCCATTCCCGTCGAGGCACGGTGTACGCTTTTCAGAAAACCAGGGTACAATTAAGTGCACGGACGTAGTCTTGGAAGGGTATTCCCCGTGCTTCTTACGGCAAGGCAGGGCGAAAGCGGACGTCGTCGACCAATCAGCTCAATATAATCGGCTCTAACGTTCGAAGACGGGAGTGTGTACCCGGCTCAGTCGCTTTTTCGCCAGGGTACCATGGTTGTGTCGTTTTATGCCCAACTTTTCACACGTCGGATAGATCATGATCTAGATGATCTGTGGTCTATAGATCAAGCGTTGGAAGTATCATAGATGATCTGTGGAGTATAGATGAAGAGCACGCAGGTATCATCGATGATCTATGGATTATAGATCAAGAGCGGCAGATACGTTCGGATCAATCTGTGGCTATGGGGCAAGAGTCGGAAATATCACCGATGATCGATGGATTATAGATCATGTACAGCAGACAATGTACAGATCTATCTGTATAGGTCAAGAATGGTAAATGTCACAGATGATCTATGGATTATAGATCAAGAGCGTCAGATATGCTCGAATCAATCTGTGTCTATAGACCAAGAGTCGGAAATATCATAGATGATCTGCGGATTATAGATCAAGAGCGACAAACACGTTCGGGTCTACATATATATCCGAATCCATGGATCAACACTTGAAAATGTCACAGATAATCTGTGGTCCTGTGGCCTACAGATGAAGAGCCAAATATGTGTTGTTGTTGTTGTTGCTGTCTTCGCATATAAAGTGTTCCGTTCTCTCTACCCAGTACCTTCCTCTGTCCGCACTATGTAGTCAAACACTCACGACAACACTTGACGCAGTCGATTCCCGTGGTCATGGGCCGACTTACCCAAAAAAGGTACAACGTGCGAAAACAATATGGATCCGAAGGGTCCAAAAGTCAATACAATTGTAGAAGTTCACGACACAAAGTCTTAAACTATCAAAAAAGTCGGGTCGTCCAAGGGGTAGGGCTCCCATCACCGGTCGGAGGGCTGGGGCTCCCATCATCGTCCACAGGGATAACCTCTTGGTCTGCAGCCGAGGCGGCTGCCGCCACTCATGCCTGCCATCCTAGGCGCGCGTGGCCTCTCGCGTGTGTGGGAGCTGTTGTGGTGTGTGGAAGGTGTGGAAGAGTTCTCTCGAGAAGCTGACATGGCACGTGCCACACGGCACGAAATACCACCCGCATGATCTGTGGTCTACGGATGTAGAGCGGCAGGGATCACCGATGATCTGTGGTCTACAGATCAAGAGCGGCAGGGATCACCTATGATCTGTGGTCTACAGATAGAGAGTCGGGAATATCACCGATGATCTATGGATTATAGATCAAGAGCGGCAGATATGTTCGGATCTATCTGCGTCTATAGATCAAGAATCGGAAATATCACCGATGATATATGATATATGGACTATAGATCATGAGCGGCGGACAATCTACAGATCTATCTGTGTCTATAGATCAAGAAACGCAAGTATCGCAGATGATCTATGGATTATAGATCAAGAGCGGCAGATATGTTCGGATCAATCTGTGTCTATAGATCAAGAATCAAAAACATGTACAGATCGATCTGTATAGATTTTGGTGATCTGCGACCGAAATGATCTATGGCGATCTATAGCGATCTGATCTGTCCTATGTATAAACTTTTTTGCCACGCGCCTGACCCCCACTCTTTTCTGGCTCAATTTTGAGAGTTGACACGCGGAACACAGAGTTGGCACGAACCGCACGGCCGAGAAAACTCGTCAACAGTAATCCCAGTATCCAGCTGGTTTGTTTCCCACTCCTGCCAAGACTTCCATTCCAACACATCCCCATCGACTGCTCTGAGGTATTGTCTCGAGCGGGTAATCCTTCTGTGATAGTGGGTACACGAAGAATGTTCGAACGAAGACTATCGAGCGTATGCCACCATGGCCATGTTCATCAAATCAATTACCCCGTATTCATCCCGAAACGGCACAAAAACGACGAAGTTACAGTAGTTAAACGTGGCGTCGCTATTGTTCACATTCGAACGACGACCGGATACTTGTCTGAGCGGCAATCTGTGCGGTTATTTCTTTCGGGGGCACCGACGACAGCGCTGCTCTTAGGTGTGCTCCCTTTCTTTATCGAGGTGCAACCCCGTCGCAAAGCGTGAAGCTCTCCATCTCCGTAAAATTACTGGAAATTATCCTGGGCTCTTATCTGTGGATACAAGATGGTTCGCTGTTCGCTGTGTTGGGAAGTAAGAACAAGTAGGTCGTTTCACGAAGTTTTCGGACCTCGCCCTCGCGTAGGTAGACTCCAAACCGGTGCCCCGGTACAGCACTACAGCAAAACCTGGCGGTATTATTGGCACGAAATGCCAATTACTATTTCGGGTCCGCAGGCAACCCGCAGGCTCACCCAGTACCTCTTCATCAGAAGCGAAGCATTCACTACCACCTCGGGTATCGGGTACACCTCGCTGCCTCGGCAAGGCTTTTGCTTAGGCATGGCCCATAGCGCGCGGGGGGGGGTCTTTCTAGCATGGCTAGACTCACCCTCAAGGGACCGATACCTTCTTGCTACGGCGCACCCGCCGCGAGGTGTGCGTAGTGGTAGAGTTGGGTCGGCACTGGTGCGTCAGGTACAAAAATGCAGATGCGCGGGCCTCATGGCCGTCGGTGTAGACAGCAATGTCCATCTCAGTTTTGTGCGCGGAGGCAGACGCCATCAGAAACGTGGACGGACACTATGTGCACGGCCCTCGGTTTGCTAGAGGGAGCTGTACTGTCTCAGTAACCTGGCTTCGCCATCAAAGAGGAGGAGGGAATATGTGGTGACAAGCTGAGTGGGCTGGTTGACCCTTCGGCGCGAGAATTTTCAGACCAAGAACCCTAAGTGCAACGAGGGAGAAAGCGAGGAACCGACTGGGAAGGACAGCAACGAGAGCGTGTACGGACGGAGCGGGTCGAGTTTGGTCGTGCTAGGACTGGCCGCAGCGACACCGGAGCAGCGGCATCGGAGCAGCGGCACCGGAGCACACGGACGACATCGAACCGTGACGCACGGACGAACACTCGAATGGGTAGTCTTTCTGTGTGTGTAATTATTTTTTCTTAATTTTGTGTTGTCAAATATTTTCCGTTTTTTTTCCTGAACATCGGTGTTGGGTGTGTGTAATGACGTCACTGGTTTTGTAGAGAGACGCGGCAGAGATGGCGCGGATACCCCGGGTGCCGTTATTGTGTACCTGCATTGTGGAAGACCCCTCCCTTCAATGTGGAACGATTCCTAGTCAGTGTCGATTATTATCACTGCTGTGTCCAACACAGATAGATGATCCGGGGGTAGATTCGGTGATTGTCAAATGCAATGATGGCTTTGGTTGGGTGTTCTCTTCACTTTATGTCCACGGACGCATTCTGACAGCACTTCAGACAGCAGTTGCGCGCCCCGAACTTGTGCCATGCCTACCATGGTGTTATTTTACTGGCAGCACTCCAGACAGCTGTACGCTGTAGTCGCAAACATTAATTTGGTAAAGTGTGGGACAGGGGGGATGATGCTGCTGTAGTCGAATGTAGTGTGTGGACGGGTAGTTCAGTTTTGGGCACGCAAACGTGCCGCAGGGATGTATAGGTGTACCTCTTCGGGCTTGTGTACCCTTTTCTTGCTAGTTTGCGTGTTCTTTAGATCTTCTGGTGGCTCTAGCATTTTTGTGACCACGGACCGCTTCTTTGCTAGATTTTGGGATTAGCAACTGACACGAGTTTAATGTGAAGACAACAACAACAACAACAACAACACAAGAAGTGACTCTTGAGACGAAGCCCTATCGTCATGTAAGATTAGTAAAGCCAGAACGCCTATGGATGAAAACACAAAGTAGGCCCCTAACCTTCTCTTGCAAGACTCGCGAAACTTTAAGGGGGACGCCCCCCTTTCCCATGCGATGCGCTCTGCAGCCGCAACGCACTTTCGCGATGCATGTACACGCCGCCGCGGGTGGATGCGATAGACTACCGGTTGATTTGTTTGAACAACGGATGCGATAGAGCTCTTTTGCTGCTGTAGTCGCCACTTGAACAACACGAACAACTGCTGTTCGACGAGGACAGCGGCAGTGCGTAACCATGGAACCGGTGAATGCTATGGTAGCATCCACGATGTGCATTTCGTTCACGATGCATTGCTCCAAGAGTCCGCCTGGCTCTGCAGCACTGCTGTGCGGCGTGATTGCTCTGTGTATTGTTTGCTCCTTCTGACTGCTTTTCAGCTTGCTTGTACACCCAAGTATCATAGACCAAGACACCGCGGTGGTTCTCGGGACCAAAACTCACATGCCAGACATCGCCAGGGTGACCAATCGACTACGTTCGTGTACAGGGATCCACTTGGCGAGGAGCGTGTGCGATGCAGGGATAAACATGCCCTGGCTGGCTCCAATGGCAACTCGGCAAGCCATCAAGATCGTCGTGCTGCCATCGTGAACGGTGCCCGGCATGACCATCGAGATGCTGCCCCACAGCGCGAAGGACAGGCCCAGGATGCGCGCGCCTCCGTGCCGCGCCGAGAGCCAGCCCCCCGGGAGCTGCATGACCGCGTACCCGTAGAAGAAGGCCGACATGACGGTTCCCTTGTCCGCCTCGTTAAGACTCGCCGACTTGGCGAGCTCGGTGAAAGCGATCGAAAAACCCATTCGTTCGAAGTAGCACGCCAGCGTGCACGCGAAGATCATGGAGACGATCACGTGCACGTCTCTCAGCCCCCAGATGACCCTGCTCTCGCTGTCAGGATGCCTCATGGCTCGCTCCGTGTGTGGCGACGAGCCGTCTCTCTGCTGCCACGCAGCCGGACAAGGGCACCGCCGCACCGGACTCTCAGCACAGACCCAGCAGGGGGTTGCTCGTCCACTTCGCGAACCCAGAACCTACCGTTGACAGGGGTATGCTGTTATTGTCTGCGGGGTCCCAAGTGACGCGCGCGCTCCAAGTTTGTTCCTTTTCCTTTTCCTTGGAAAGCGCTCGCTCTCTCAATGTGTACTTGCGGCTTGCGGCTATGGAATGGCTCAGAAAGTACCCCCGAACAGTGGACGTTGAGACTGCGGATGGTGTAGTGCGAGGCTCCCTCCTGCGGGATCGCGAGTTCCAGAAGGTCATTGCGGTTTTCAAGTGAGCGCCAAGGAGGACGTCATGGCCTCATGTTTTGCCGAGGCACGGGTTGTTTGTCGAGCGAGTGATATTGTGATATTCTACAGATGAGACCCCCTATGTAGCAGACACCACCAGCGGTATAGTTGATGCAGAAAGTAACGGGCGGAGTGGTACTACTGTACCGCAAGCTCGTAAGGTGAAACGGGAGGCTTGAACGGCGCTGAAGGCGTGTCTAGCGAGAGAGGTTGTTGAGTTGATTTCATCCGACAAACTTTTCCTTTTTTTGCGCGTTGCAACCGTGAACGAACGCTTTGGACTCCCGTTTCCCCATCCTCCCTCCCTCCGCAGTGGCATCCCTTACGCTAGGCCCCCGGTTGGAGAGCTCCGATGGCAACCACCACAGCCCGTGGAGCCTTGGGAGGGGGTTAAGGTCACTCGTCGATACGGCCCAGAGGTACGTGATCGTTGTATATCGTCCTTGTTTCACCAGGAAGAAAAAAATAGGAAAATTTCGATGCTTTCGAATACGAGGTGTATGTTGTCTCGGATATCATGGGCTGATCAGTCTCTATCCACGGGCCGCGTCCTCTCAATTTAGAGTGCCTGCACTGGTGGGGGGGGGGGGTGTAGCACAGAGAGCGAGACAATGAGGGGCGGTCGGTACGGCGTGTTTCCCCCCTTGTTTAATCTATCCGCAAGCAGCAAGCAGCGTACCTCGACCGCGTGCTGCTGCTGGTTGCTGCTGCTTCTGCTGTGTGTTTTCTGGATGTAGGATGTAAGCAGTGGCAAAGAGCCGTTACAGAGGATGACGCATGGCTCGTCACACATACATATGCTGATAGTGCCTGCCGCAAACCGCACACGCACGTATACAGGAGTAGTGTGTACTTAGCTTCTGACTATCAGCTGGCGTGGATTTCCCTGCTGTAGCAGCAGCAGCATCAGCAGAGTCCCGCCCGTTACTGTTCCGCACGCTCGTTTGCATCGTTTGCGCTTCGCCGCTTGTGCCGACTGAGATGGGCATCCTGCCTTATATACATGCAGAGAAAAAGGGGCAATATGAAGCAAACACGTTGTTGTGTACCATGATGGTATCTTGTGTACCGCCGTGCCTCGACCCTTTTTTCTGAATGCGCATCGGAAGAACTGGCTGTCGGCTGAACCGGACCTTACATGCGGAAAGCAAACGTCGTTGATGTTGGTGGTGCTAAAGGTTTGTTGTATTATCCTTTCAGCATGAATCTCTTGTTGACCTAAAACCATGTACTGCTGTACCTGGTACTGCTGCAGCTGTCCAGCACCTAAATTTATTACTTGCTGTCATACTCCTCCCGACGTTCACAAAGGAGGGAACGAAAACACATCAGGGGAAGACGATGATGCGAGACCCTAAAGAAATAGATTTCCAGATATCGTGTCGCTCGCTCAATACGACACCACATGCCGTTCGACTGTGGGTATATCTCGAATGGGTAGTCTTTCTGTGTGTGTTTATATTATTCCTTAATTAATAATATGCCGTTTTGTCTTCAATGCGGAAGTACGTTATCGCCGAAACGGAACCAGAATTTCCTGGTCTATTATAGTAGAAAATTCGGCAGGCTGGAGCGCTGTTAAAGTGGGTTCAATTCCTTGAGTGTCAATATCGTTCGGACGGGACGATAAAAAATCTCGAGGTTCTCCATCGCTTTTATTATGAACGGGCGATGTATTACGTACACCCGGAAGCTAAACACTGTATTCATAGGCTTGCTGTTTCTCTTACCTCTGCAAAGCTATATTCCCAATGCCCTTTCGGTGCCGCAACCTCTCTACACTCCAACCCGTAGCGAGCAGCCTTAACAGTGTTTTTCGTATTATGTAAACATGCTGAATCAAGCACACAATCGGGGAAGTTGGGTTATAGGGAAGAGTTAGGGGATAGGGTCTGCGTACCCCCTCCCTGTTCTATTTCCTCATACAAAGTATTATTCTCGCGAAGGCGGTCCACCGTAGCGTATCAGTGTTGTGTACTGTAGGCGAACGTAAGTAGCAGGAAGAAAAGGTGGCACAAAAACCACTTGGTGCTGCTGCTGTGACGTGCCGTTCGGACAGGAGCCGAGACGAGTGCGTCTCCTATCTCTGGGGATGTGGGTGGCCCGTTTTTTTTTTTTTTTTTGTTCTTCACTTCAAATCAGCGCTCACAGCACTAGTGCCGTTTATTCCAACCCGTGGTCACACAGAAGAGCCTCTCTCTACCCTCCCCTCCTGCGGTACTTCGCCGTCAATTTTTAATGCGAGAAGAGTTTAGCACTCTCTTCCCTCTGTGTACACACGAACTAGCGCTATCCACTTGGCCAGGAGCGGAAGCGAGAGAAAAACTCACTTTGCAAGAAAAGCTCGCCTACGCCGGGATTCGAACCCCTGACCTGACCTCTAGAAGGTTACGAGGCTACCAACTAGACCACCGGGGCGACCGACACGTGGACCGATGTGAAACGTCTGGATGGAAAATAACTGCTGGATGTCTCCGTTTATATCGTTTCAACTGGGCGGCGAAAGAGATATGGAACTGTCATGCGTTTATCATCTCCTCGTTCTCCCGTACCAACAGTTGTCGGCCTTGCTAAGAACGTGTTGTATGCACACGCACCCCAGGCTCCCTGTGTTTCCATCATGCACAGGCACCGACTGAGGTATACGCTGGCACCAGCTACTGTGTTCGTGCGATCGGACGGTAGCTACTCAACTCGATTGAAGATTGAAGACGTTTTCAGGTATACAGTATATATAAAGTACACATCTCTTATCTTTTGCGCCCCTCCCTGCCTCCACCCTCGCCCCTGCCTGCTGCTTTCCGCAGGCCCCCCAGCTGGGCATGGAGTTCATGGGCTTCCTCCGCGCCGCCGTACAAAAGCACGCCTTCGGCACCGTGCAAACCAAGGCCTACATCCACGGCGCGCGGTTGCTAAGAACAAGGCTCGCCGCGAAGCAAAGCGAGGACTGTCTGTACCTCAACGTGCGCACGGTAAGCCCGTCGGTGGTCGGGGACCTCGGTGCGCCGCCGGCCCCCCGCCGAGGCGATAGAGACGCTGGCGATTCCTGTCCTCCGAGCAGCGGGCCTGAGGAAACGCCGCCCACCCCTACTACCCAAGGCACCGGCGTGGGGGCGCAAAGCACGGCTGCGGATGGTGGCGGTGGTGCTGCTGCGGGTGCTGCGGCGAGACTACCGGTGCTTGTGTACATTCACGGCGGCGACTACCACGACGGCGCGGGCGCGAGCAGACCCTTTTACTTGTCCAACGCGCTGCCCATCAAGGGCGACGTGGTGCTGGTGACGTTCAACTACCGGCTCGGTTTGCTGGGGCACTTCTGCCACCCGGACCTGTCGAAGGAGGCGGAGGCGGCGGGACGGCCGGCCGTGTCCGGCAACTACAGCATCCTTGACCAGGCGAGCAAACTTTCTAGTCCTACTAAAAAGATGGCTGGATTCCCAGTTATGCAAGAATTTCCTTCTACCTGGGTCGTTTTCATCGGCAGCGCGAATGTGCTAACTATGTGGCAAGAATTCTGCTAGGGCGTTTCAGTTTGCAGCGTGAATGAATGTGCTTCGGTTGAGTGTAGAGTGCGCACCGAAGCTCAAGTGTTGTTGATATAATTGGGCCTGACGCTACACCCGTGACCTATTCTGAGCGTCGACGAATTACTTGTCCCAGAAAAGATCGTCTTTCTTTTAGCCAGCTTGAGTGTGTAACCCCGACGTTGTTGCTCTTTCCTGTAAACGTGCTGTACGCCAGATCGTTGTAAAGTACGAGTAGCTTTCCCCGACCGTGAAGGTCGTGGTTTTCACATCCTGCTGTAGGCAGACACTTTGTGATCTTTTATTCGTGTGTGTATGCAAATATTCGAAAATTGTTGACGAGGGATTGAGAAATGCTGAACCCTTGCGCGAAATTTGAAGGGGGGCACCGCCGAAGAGACAGACCTTCCGTGTATCTCCTGACTCCGTACGTTAGGTAGATGGCCAGGGCCTTTCCTATGCGGCTATCACGCATAAACCCAAACGCTCATCGAGAACTATATGGTTGTGCAGGATCACTACGGGGAGAAGAAACGCGAACGCACCACAGCGGGCAGGTTTGTCCCGTGTGCCCTGCTTTCTCTTGCCACCGCCTTTTCCGCCAGCATGGTGTTTGACCGGGCATGAAACGCCCCCAACCCTTGATGCCCTGCCCTCATTTTTCCCTTCAGATTGCCGTGTTGCGGTGGGTGCAGCGGAACATCGCCTCCTTCGGCGGCGACCCGGAGAACGTGACGATAATGGGCTCCAGCGCCGGCGGGGAGAGCGTGCTGTACATGATGACGTCATCGCTGGCCCGGGGGCTGTTCCACAAGGCGATCTGCCAGTCGCCGGCCTGCACGCCGAACTCGCTGATGCACCTCCGGGAGCCGTTCGCGTGCTTCCGCCCTTCCGAGGACAACGGCGTGGACTTCGCGTTCAGGCTGGTGGGCGCGGACCGGGGCCAGGTGTCCCGCCTGCGGAACGCCCCGCTGCGTCAGATCATGAACGCCTACTACCAGGACGGCACCAAGCGGCCCGAGCCGAGGCAGCTCTTCTACCCCGTGGTCGACGGCCACGTGATCCCCAAGCCGCCGGTCGAATCGTTCCTGCTCGGGGAGCAGGCGCCCGTGCCGCTGCTCATCGGCAACAACGCGGACGAGGGGAGCCTCTGCTACCCGGTCACGTACTCGCGGACGCGCGTCCGGGACGCGCTGTACCCGAGCCCGGTGCGGGAGGCCGGCAGGGAGGCGTACGGGGACGAGGGCGCGGCGGCGCTCGCGGACCTGTACGACCCCGCGTGGCGGGAGACCGGGGAGGGGGCGGAGGACGGGTCGCCGTCCGACTGCGACTTCTTCACCGACCGGGTGTTCGGGCAGAAGGTGCACTGGCTCGCGTCCCACCACCACCGGCTCCTGCGGCGGCCGACCTTCGTCTACGTGTTCGCGGCGGCCCCGCCGCGGGAGGGGCAGACCGTGGGCGCGTTCCACGGCGCGGAGGTTCCCTACGCGTTCGGGTCGCGGCCGTGGTTCATCGGGGGTCCCGAGGACAAGCGGCTCGCGTCGGCCATGCCCGACTACTGGACGGCGTTCGCCCGGGGGGGCGACCCGAACGGCACCCTCCGCCCGCGGGTGTTCTGGCCGTCGTTCGACTCGGAGCCCGGGAAGGGGCGGCTGATCGTGCTCGGCCACGCGATCGAGGCGAAGAAGATGGACCGCCTGGAGCGGTACGCCATCCTGCACACGCACGTGCGGCGGGTCCTCGCCGACCTCGAGAGCCTGCGGAAGTGGCAGGCGAAGCGCGAGCAGCACGAGAGGCGGGCGACCGAGCTGCGGGCGGCCGCCAGGGCGAGAGCGATCAAGAACGACCAACAGCAGGAGGAGGAGCGGGAGGAGGACGGCAGCGCCGAACGCGGGGAGGGGTTAGCGGCAGAGGCGCGGGTGCCGTTCCGTCAACTGCAGAAGCAGCGATCAAGCAGCTGACTTGTGTTCGGTGGAAAATTATAGCAAGCGTGCCGTTGGAACCTGTTTGCTTCGCTGGCAGAGTGGGTGGTGCTTCAAGAAGAGCAACATGTATTGTAATTAAGTTTGAGCCCACCTTTCGTTTCCCGCTGAACGTGGTTTAGCGGCCGCAGTTCGAGACATAGACCTGCGTCCGAGATAGAGAGCTGGTCGGCTCCTTGTAGCAGCTGGACCGGGAAATATCACAGCCCCATAATGGCGTGCTAAACTGAGAAGATGAGTAAAAGAAGATAAGAGTACTCCACAGAGCCACTGGAAGCGTATTGTCAAGAGGTGGCGGTGCGTGTTGATGGCGGCCAACGCTTCATGGCGCGCGTTCAGCGGTAGAGCGGCCGGTTGCGGGGGGCAGGTGTAGATTTTGTTGATTGGGTCCTAAATGATACCGGGAAATCGTGAGTGTTGTGAAAGACGCGTTCGTCGCGAAGGAGAACCGAGTTGGGAGAGATTTATATTTCATTTTTTGTTGTTACGTCCCGTAAATCCATTTGGTGTTTGTCACATCCCCGAAAACTATTTTGCGTTGGGGGAGTCGGTGTGGTATATGGAGACTTGTTGATCCGTACGTGTTGTTCGATGAGACGAAATACCGGAAAGCCCCTAGTTAGGTGTGCTGCGTCGCATATGTAGCAGGGGATGGACGGCGAAAGAAGAAACGCTTGGCTGCTGTAGGCCACGTTAACGTTAGCAGTGGCACCGGCGTGGGTGTCCTTGCTGTATCGTTCGAACGCCAAGTCGCGGCGTACACGTCCTTTGATGCGCTGCAAAAGAGGTCGTGGATGCGCGACCCAGGCTTGAGGATCCGATTTGTAATCCACTGGAGAGCGGTTGGGAGAGATACAACGTGGTGCTACAGTACATCGTATATAATTGCGTGCGTGTCGATTTGTACAGTATATGGGAAAATCCGTCCGCGTTTCAAGGCACAGGGGAGGTCTTGGTTGTCGACCTCTCCAAATTCAGGGGTAGAAATTTGATGCTTTCATTTTTCAGTGGGGTGGGGAACCGGGGCAAAGCAATCATGGGAGGTTTGCCAGGGAAGGCGGCGGTGATTTGTTGTGCTTGTGTGGCGATTGTCGTAGACTGCGTCTTATGAGGGATGGAGGTTGCAGAGCGTCCGTAGCGACAGGGCATTTTCACGGTGTGCGGTTAGTTGGGCAGAAGCAGTGCATATGTATCATGCCACAATGTTAAATGTTGATCGATATTTTCATCTCGAAATGGCAGTCGAGAACGGTTGTTGGCGGGTGGGTAGAGCGCGAGCCAGATGCAGATGCGGACACCACAGACTGAGCTAGGCGTTGTAAGACAGTTCGTAGTTATTTGCTTTGGAATTAGAAGTAGAATCCACAGCCGTCCTCGTCAGTTGGAGCAGTACCAGAGTGCGGACATTAGAAGATACTGAGCGAGGACTGGAACGGTTTTTATTGTGAAGACAACAACCAAAGGTCCATTTCCCCGGCGTTGCTGCCTGGAATCTTTCTCCGTTGTGCCAAAGCTACTCCTGTGCTTGGAACACATTATGCATTAAGAGTCAAGAGTGAGAGTGGTTGATGCCTGCACAAGGGGCGCTTAACTCGCTGTTTGCACGGCAGATCAAGGCGAATGCATACCCTGACCTCCAATGCGATAAAAAAGAACAGAGGAGTATGCATTAGAGGGAATCACGCCCACCAACCTGACGTTTCAGTCGAGTGTCAGTCCGTGAACAGCGTTTTTTCGTTAACTTTATTGCGTTATCACCGCCTGCCGCCGAACCGACCGCACGGTACTTGCGCCGTTCGTTCCCAACCTGTGGCCGGGCGCTTTTAACGCGTGCTATGACCGGTGGCCGTGTCGCGAGTGTGGCGTCACAACCCTCCCCCACGGTATCGGTGAAAACTGAAATCGGAGGAGCCACACGTAGATGCCCGCATATGGTCGTTGTGAGCTTGTCTGCCCGGAAAATATTGGCAGTAACGTGTTCGATCCTCCGGCTGCGGGGTTTATATGCACCGTTCCTTGGCCCCAGACCCAAAATTCCCAGGTTTATCAGGCAACTCCCCCGTCAGCGTCGCTGACAATACCCAACGCACAATGGCAATACGTATAGACACGTGAGAACCGGTGGTCCGAAAAGTAGGGAAAAACAAGAGGCTACCTTGCGGTGCTGTTGCAAATAACGCTGACGCTCTCCGCTCCTCTGCTACGGGATAACGAGAAAAGTGTCACAGGTTAAAGGTTGAACATGTCGAATGCATGTTGGTCACATCGGGGAGCGGTCCACTAGCATACATAGCATAGGGATAGCATAGCATACACACGACAGAGCCAAGAGGCGACCAAACGACGGCCAGAGGCAGCCAGAGGGAGAGGCACATGGATGGGCGAACAGGCTGTCTACCAAAACATCGACCCAATAATTTTCGAACAGCTGAAGAGCTACCGGAGACGCCGCCCACGACCACGCGACCGCAGAAGGAAGTGAAAACCCCATGCCCGCCATCATCTCGTCAAGCTAGCCGATACCGACGACGAGAAAAAAGCACGCGGCGACAGGGAGCGAGGAGGATGCGGCACGCGTACAATCCCCGGAACGCATGGCGATGCGTAACTCCCCCCGTAGCGTCTCTCAGGGGTCACCGAAGGACGTGACGGCTCGTAAGGCGGCCTCCCCCGCTGCGCGCTCGATCCGTGAGATCCTGTCGATTGCGATAGCATCGTCTGCGATCCGGTTGGCAAGCTGGGTGCCAGAGGAAGAACAGAAGGTTCGGGGGGGGAGGGGTGAGCACGTGTGAAGTACAGAGCGAAAGGAGAAATAACGTCCCTTTCGCAGGCCGTGTTTTTTTCTCCAAGTCTTAAGAAAAGCTCCGGAACCAAGACAAGCTTTGTTGCCGAAGCCTCGTGCTGGAAAAAACACCAACAACCACGACACACGAGTGTGCCCATTTCCTCCACTCCAAAAAACACTGGGCGATACTTGTCGTCGCCGAACTACTCTCCCGCAACCTCTTCGCCGCTCTCACCACTATGGTTGCGGCCGACGCCTGCACCTTGCTCTTTCGACAGAGGCGAGCGAGGTGCAGCAGCTGAAACGTCTCCATCTCGAAGCTCCCCGCCGAGGGGTGTCGCTCTAGCAAACTCGACAAGATATCGCTGTTGCGGTCTTCGAAGCTTGGGTCGAGACGGCCTGAGGCGACAAACGAACGATGGTTGCGAGAGAAGGGTGTCGGATGGAAAGAAATCGAAAGGTTGCTCAGAGCTCGTCCTCCGGCCTGCCTGTGTCACACCGGTCTGTGTGTGGGACCCATCGCGTGATCCTCGGGTAGGGTTGCGAAGTTACGCGTTACCTATGTTTGCAACAATTTTTTTTGTGACTACCTCGCCATCGAAAGAGCATCGTCCACGGGACCGACTCGTTTCGACGCCTCCCACACCTTGGCTGCTGTAGAAGCTGTCCGCCGAGGCATTCAAGCATCCCACCACGGCCGTCCCACCACCACCGTCGCTGCCGCCCGCCTTGCCATCCAGCGAGCGCTTGAGTTCCTTCAGCAACGCTTCGGACAGCTCTTCGTCTGCGGGGGCCACCCCGTGGAACAGGTACGGCTCGCCTTGGGTTTCTCCTCTCGCGGCCGTCCCTTCCCAAGCGTCCGGATTTTGGCGAATCATCACGGAGCCCTCGCTCGCAACCGCCACGCTGCCGACGGGCAGGTCGGGGCGCAATCCGGCGCAAGACCCGAGGCGGACGATGCGGAGTGGTCCCGTCGTCACCGCCCTCACCTCCCGCACGAAGAAGTCCATGTTTGGGTAGCCCATGTTTATCAGCACGATCGACACGGGCACTCCGTTGTAGGTCCCCGTGTGGGTAACGAAGCCCCGCTTGCTTCGCCTGGTGGTTGTTGTTGTTGTGCTACTACTGCCGTTTTTGGTATTGTTGTCGTGGTCGTTGATGTTGTCGTTGTTGTCATCCTTCGGGGTGCCGGCGGCGGTAGTGGTGGTGCCGTCCAAGAGTGACGCAAGGATCTCGCCGCGCCCCTCGCTTCCGACCGTGACGATGTTGTTGGCCACTGCGCATGGATGCAGATATGTACGTAAATAGAGGCAGGCGTATAAATGGTCATGGGCATTCAAAAACGGGGAGAAGAGTATACTGGAACCAACACACTTTCCGCGGGCACGGTGCACTTTTCTCGCTCCTGTCGCCGCGTAAGGCTTGCCGAGCCGTGTGGTCACGTGTTGTAAATTGCACCCAGTGCCTTTTATCATACACGTCTCGTCACACCTGTATTCTTAGCGCACCAGGCGAGCAAGAAAAATCAAATCAGCAAGTTTGGTCTTCTTACAGGAAAAATAAATACACTTCTGTACCTAAGACTACCACGCGGACGGTGTACATGTATTTGTATGTGTATTGTAGCAGTAGTGCCAATCGGGAACAGAAACAATGAATCAGGACCTTGCTGGATTATACAGAAAAAATCTGTTCAGAAAAAAAAGCTCAAATGTTTACGAAAAATAAGAAACAAGGGCTAAGAAACTCAGCTCACTCTCGGCCACGACATAAGAAACGTCGCAGTAAGAAACATGATCGGGCGATACCCTGAGACACAAGAAACAACGAATAGCTGAGGAAGCGTGCTGTCCAATAAGAAACCTCCCACTGCTGCTGCTGCCAGCTCCCACCACTACCTATCTAGGCTAGCTCATCATGTAATTGTTTTTTGTAGTGAGTGATTATTTTCGCGTCGCCCCTCGGGCCCCCGCGCCGCGGGCTGCGCTACCCACTGCTTGTTGTATTGCTGTACTGCCACAATCACGGGAGTCAGGAAGTTCAGGAGGAGGCGACAACCCCGATCAATCAATGTTCGTCACCACCGAGCTGTCGATTGAAAATGTTACATGAAAAGGCTTGGTGTGTTGTTGGTTTCTTCGCCAGAAATAAGAAAAAAATAAGAGCAGCAGAATGATGCGACAGCCCAAAGGAATTAAGAAATACTGGCCGACTTCGGCTGGTCCTTAGGGCGAAAATATGAAATTGAGGCTTGACCCGATTTTGACGTTTCTTATCTCCGGGCCCGTTCTGTATTATTCCTCGTTCTCTCGCCATCAATCTGCCTGAGGGTGCATACCAAGACAACCACAAGGAAGGGTGGCAGCAGATATCATACCACGTTTCTCGCGGCTCTGTTGGCCGCTCTCTCCCTGCCTCGACTACTATGTAGCAATGGTGAAACAACGTCGTCACGGAACATACAGCTGCAGTATACAGGTACTTTCTGACGCTATGAATCTGTCTCTCAGACTCTTTTCTATGATATGGTTTCGTTGCGTCATATTAAGAAAAAAAAAAAAAAACTTAGATGGTCAATTATTTAGACACACGCACCTTCGCCGGACCGCAACTCGAGATGGAGCACTCTTCCGTCAGCCGTGAGCGGAACGGCATTGGCATGGAGAAGATAAAGATCAGTGGCGCTCATCGAAGTGCGGGTGTTATGGATACGTCGGTGTGGACGGTGGGAGTGTAACTGGTGGTGATGGGCGTCGTGATGTGCCTGGTCCTCACTCGCTCACTGCGCGCTCACTCGCTCACCTTCATGAATTCATGAACCGCGGTTGGTTCTGATTTGGAACCAAGTCCTTTCGGGTAATGAACTTCAAACAGGGCAGCACCAGCAGCGGCGCACCGCACCTGCCAGCACCCACGAGGCGAGAGAAAGAGAGCGCGGTGTGTGTATAGCCATGATTCAAGTGACAGGAAGACGGGCAGAAAAGGCTCTTCTGCTCCTGCTTTGCCTGGGGAAACGAAGCAGCACGGCTTTCCAGGTTAGAGGACCCGTCACAACCGCACGGCGGGCGACAGCAGCCGTACATGTTTGCCGCCCGAGGGCGCTCTCTTCAGTAGCCGGGGCCGTCGCAGAGCCAGGAACTACGGTGGCGTGTTCCCGCAAGCTCTCAAAAGCTGTAGTGGTCGCTCGTGGCAAGGCCCGATTATTTTGGTGAGTCTTGAGCGCGTAAGAAGGAAGCGGTGTGTGTACCACTTGTTTGCTGTTGCTCCCACAAACGCCACCCTCCACATGTAAGACAGCAAGACAGCACTATGTATTTACCTGCGCCGTTGCATAACAGCACCCAGCTTGTGATTTGTTATGTTTTCGGGTTGAAACCTTGCTGAGCACTCAAGAAGGATATAAGTTGGCGAGACGCATACAACAAATGCGCGTGCTTGCGTACAAGGAGTCCATAGCAGTAACAGGGAGGGAGACCTTCTACTACAGCAGTACTGCTGTGAACTGCCTGCCAATGACACATGTGCTCGAAGACCCCTTTGTTGCACAATTTTCTCGAACGATCGACCTCCCGCGGAAAGATTGGGGCATACGAATGAACAGAGGATAGATACCAGTTGCGTTCGAGGGCAGGGCAGATGCTATGCTGAAGACTTCCGGAAACACGGAGACGACGTCCGAAGCTATCTACTGCTGCTGTAGATGGAGAGGCCTGATACTTTGCGGGCACTCCTGCTCTGCACACGACACCATCGTAGACCTTCCTGGCGCGAAACATTCTGCCGCGTGTTGCTGCATCGGGTTAACCCATCTTCGTTGCTCCTCAGGGACGGGAACCCTCTCGTGTATGGAGGGGCCGTTTCTCGCGTGGAAGGGGACCCCGCCGCAGGCGACGTCGTTGACGTCATCGATTCCAGCGGGAAGTTCATCGCTTGGGGTGAGACACGCGATGGTGCTGCGAGACCACAGGGGGGGGGGGGGGGGGGCAGGGAGAAAGTGGTAATCCATCAAACATAATTGAAAATGAGCTATCTCGCGGAGAGACCTGTTGTATCCTGTCTGTGCTCGCGGTTGGACCATGGAGGAAGTCACCGGTGTTTCTTCTCAAGCGTCATCGGGGAGAAATCGAACTCCAATATTGGACAGTTTTTTGGGTATTCTTGTGTGTACCAGAGAGAGATAGAGAGACAAACAAAGACAGGTAGACAGGTAGAAAGAGAGAGAGAAAGAGAGAAAGAGAGAGAGAGAGAGAGAGAGAGAGAGAGAGAGAGAGAGAGAGAGAGAGAGCACAGACAGACACACAGGTTGGTCGTCTCCATGCAATAGACGCACATTTTTCCACACACCCTGTAAATTACCATGCCATCACCTCGGCCGCGCACCAACCAAGCCTTCACACGAGACTCACTGATCGCGACCCACCCTTCCAGGAGTATACAATCCCGATTCGATGTACCGTGTGAGGATTCTGGCGAGGGAGGGCGAAGCGGTGTGTCACGATCGAGACGTGGGCGCCGTGGTAAAGGAGAGGCTTTTGACCGCTCGCGACGCCCGACGAGCGATCGGCTTGCCGAACGCTAAGACCGACACCTACAGGTGGGTGGAAGACGGTGCGGCAGCAGAGTGCAACGTGCCTCGTAGCGCTGGTTTTGGAGTGCTGCTGGAGTGCAGGGGGTTTCGGGGGGGGTACCTGGGGCTCCATGGTGGTTGTGTTTGTTCGTCGTACCGCGCTTGGGTGAAGGCACACCGTGTCTGGGATGTTCCGGGTCACAAACATTAGTAGGGTGCAATGTCGTCATCATGCGCATTTGTTGCTGTCGCATACGGTTCTATTTAGTGCAATAGGTGGCATCATGGATTTCCTCATGATGTATGAGTACAGTGTCTGGATTACGCTTGTTGTAGGGTTAGTTCCAACGCAACTGTAGTTGACGAGCACCCCGTAAACGTGATTTACATCGGTCATCGCTCTGCAAACTCAACGCCTTCCACTCTCCCGCTGCAAACGGCCGGGTACTTGCAACCGCCCCTCCCCTCCCTTCGCTCAGGCTGGTCAACGGGGAGGGCGATCGCCTGAGCGGTTTGGTAGTCGACGTGTTCGCCGGCGTGGTAGGGGTTTCCTCGTCGGCGGTGTGGGTGGAGGCGTTTCGACCGGAGATCGAGGGCGCCCTTGGAGAAGTCTTTGGCGCCGACGCGACCGAGATCATCTGGCGGCGGAGCGACGGACGCCTGCAGCAGGACGGGTGGAAGGGAAACAACCAAAGCTCGCCGGGGGCAGCGGTGGCAGAAACGACGGGTGCCGACGGCAAGGCGGCACGAGCCGCGGGCAGCTCAGAGGGGGTGGGGGTAGCGGGGGAGAAGAGGCTCAGGAGTGATGCGCCGTCCACTGTGGTGCGCGAGCACGGGCTGGAGTTTGAGGTTCGCCCCCAGTTCGGGCAGAAGACAGGTGAAAAGAACACAGCAAACGTGGGCACGGTGCTTGCTCAAGGGTTGATTGAGGGATTCACAGTCCGGCATTCAGGTTATGTGCTACATTGTAACTGACCCTCGTACCCAATGCCGTTGGAAATTTAAATTTCTCTCGTTGCGGGTGTGTTCGCTGCTCGCACCCCGCCTAGTGAAGTCTAGCCGTCCTCTCGGTAAAACCGCATGCCGATCACTGGCTCTTCTGTGGTTATGGATGCAGTTGCTGTTGTTGTTGTTTTTGGTCTTGTTTTGTTGCTTTTGTTGCTTTTGTTGCTTTGTCGACATTCGGAGCAGGATTCTACTGCGATCAGAGGGAGAGCAGACAGGCCGTTCGGGAACTCGGCGAAGGCAAGAACGTGCTCGACATGTAAGTCCAACCCCCCACCCGTCTTTCGGCTACCTTTGTATGTTGGTTGATGGGTCATCCTGCCCGACAACTTTGTCGTCAGGTGAAGAGGTTCCGGCAGAAGCGGTTGTTGTATACCGTACCGTCAAGCAAAGCTTGGTTTGTTATTTGAAGTCTACCAGCAATTCGTTCACATGCGTACAGACGACATGCATACTACGTCTGTTTTTTCCCTCGGCAGTTTTCCCGCGTTCGGATGTTTCGCTGCTACAGCAGTACAAGACGCATGCCTCCTTACATCGACTACGCTACAAGATTTCTCAAAGCTGTTCCTCACACGGTTTATTTCGTTTGCGATTGGTCGCTACTCAACCATTTGTCACAAGGTTCTGCTACAGCGGAGGGTTTGCGCTGAACGCCGCCGCTGGCGGAGCGTTGCGAGTCGTGGGCGTCGACTCGTCCCAGCCGGCGCTGGAAGAAGCCCAGGTTAACGCCGCTCGCAACGGACTCGAAGGACTGACGGAGTTTGTCAAGGACGACGCTCTCAACTTCATGAAGGCAAGCTGTTGCCGCCGTGCACCCGCCATCATCGCGCCCCCTCTTGCCCCAACACCAGACGGAGGGTAGACGTGCTTTGAGCGCCCTGCCTGTGTCGGGCTTGGTCACCTCATCATCTCTGAAACTCCAGACGATAGTGCCAGATTCCGACTCGGCATCGTTTTCATGTCTCCTGACGCGGCATAGATGCCATCGCACAAATCCGCCTACTTGGGGAAGGAACATTTTTTGCCTCTGCTTCGCGCCTTTGAGACCACCGACTGCTGTGCCAGGAGAGCCGACCGTTCTGTAGCCGTTTAGCCGTCGAGCAGGCATAGAGCAAAAACGTCTGGGCTTTCGGGCTGCGCGTGTCCTCCGAAAGGCCCCCGAGTTAATAGAGTCGACACGGCCACGCAAGTGCCGCCGTTGCCCCTTTGCCCAAACAGAAGCCTGACTCGTACGTGTGAAGCCCTCCCTGACCTCATGTAAACCTCTCTGTGTCCGATGGCGGCGATGCTGTTGTTTCCGCCGAACGCGCGCGTGCGTGCGTGGGTGGGTGACAGGCCGCGAAAACCAACGGGGACGAGTATGACTTGGTAATCGTGGACCCTCCTAAGCTCGCGCCGAACAAGAAGGCGCTGCCGCGCGCGACCTCCCGCTACAAACGGATCAACGCGGCCGCCCTTGAGCTGGTCGCGCCAGGCGGGATCCTGCTGACATTTACGGTGAGGAGGTGCAATAGCGAGGGTGGGGGATGGGTGCGGGGGGGAAGACGTTCATGCCGCGGTGCGACAGCTACGGTAGGCTTCGATCGTGTGGCCGGTGTTTACGCCAGCTGGTGCGTCGATCTGCAATTTTGCGGGGCAGGCGTCCGAGGGCGGTGTGATCTGTTTTGATGCTCGTGGCCCGCGGTGCCCCTTTTCCAACGTCCCTGTCGAGTATTCCGCGATAGTGTTGGCAATCTCCCTGGTCAAGGTCGCCGACGTCGCCCGCATTTCTTACTATAATAGCCAACCTCAACAGCCAGCGTGCAACGTTCAGCACATGTACAGATGAGGATGACATGAACGAGGTACAGCTCATCTGATGGGAAGAAGTGCACCACCCCTCACAGCAGCGGCTGAAACGACCCCCCTTGCAAAGGATAAGGTGGCGCACTTCTCCGCCCGCCCTCACCTGCAACCCGGCGGCAAGAAAATCGTTTACACAACATGGTCGTTTTTTTTTGGTCCTCTTCCGTATGCTACTCGTCTCGCGTGCCGGCGCGCCGCTTATTTTTCCGCTGCTGCGGCGAACACTTGCTATGTTTGTGCCCTTTCAACAACGAAACAGTGCTCAGCAGCCATGACGCAAGGAGGGGGGTTCGTCGGGGTCGTGCAGAGCGCGGCGGCGGCCGCAGGCAGGACGATCACCCTCCTCAAGACGGTCGGCCCAGCCGCGGATCACGTCACCAACCCCTGCTATCCGGAAGGCGCGTATCTCACCGGCGCGTTTTTCTACGTTGTCTGAGGAGAGAAAAAAAAAAAATCGCGGCGTAGCCATCGCGGCCCTCGCGGCGTTTGCTCGCGGCGTTTGTGGGAACGGACGGAGGGGGAAATGGTTGTGTGCCGGCGATGAAAATGGTTTGGTAGGGAGAAGTAGTTCCCAATGCTTCGGGTCCAGCGAGTTTCTTGGGTTGTGCTTCGTCCGTTTGCGTTTTTTTGTATCGGCATTGGGGTAATGGACCTACATGTTTGGGCACGATCGAAGCGTGTGAAGAAGCTCAACAGGCTGGATGAGTTGTGCAGGATTTTATCGCGAGCATCATGTCGTCGGCGTTTTCGTCTGAAAGGTCTTGCACATCATCCTGAAGGGCGCATGTGCTGAGAGCATATCGTTGACCGCGTGCCCAGAATCATTGTAACCTCGTGAGTGATCCGAAAGTACAGACGAATGACGGCCGTAGAATACGACTGGGTTAGGTCTGGACATTATTTGACAACGCAGAACAACGCGCCCACATGAATCTTAACACCTACCTGGTAGATTATATCGTACTCGGCCGCAAAGACACACCCACATCAAGACAAGACACCCCGACGCCCGAGGTCACAAAAAACAGGTCATACGCCCCAGCAAATGGAACTCCAACCCCCTCCTTTCTTCGACGTCCAGAGTTGAGAACAGTTGAGAGACGACGGCACAGGAGCTGTGATGCCCAACACGCAACAGATTGTAATGGTCCCCGCGTCCTTCGCGCTCCCAACCGCTCGCTAGCACCTCCACTAGCACAAACATGGTTTATTCTGGAGGGGCCTCTCCCAGATTCATCAATGCAAACCACCAACTCCGAACCACACTGCTACATATAAAGTGTACCCACACGCCCTGCCAAGCTTTACAAGAAAGCCCGTGCCAGGACAACTCACAGAATTTAAGAAATAATGCTATCGTACAACGCTCACGGACCAGCCACCAGGCCGTCAGCGGTACATCTTCGGGCACAAACATGCAAAGCCTGCGTCACTGGGGCCGGCGATGATGGGCCATGTTCGAGGCCAATCCCACTAAAAAAAACAAATCCGGACCTTTAGAGATGGCACAGAAACACTCTACATGCTCGGGGGGCGATAAGAAAAAGACGTGCCCACAAAGGTAGACCCACAAGAACAAAAAAAAATGCTACGAAAAACTCTCCCATGCACCGCCACACATCAAAGTGAGGGACGCTTGCAGCAGTGACTGCCATCGCGCCTATGCAAAATCGCCACGAAACGCCGTCTTGCACAGAGGCGCAACTAAACCTTTGATGGAAAACGAATGCCCTTCGATCTGATGGCATGACACGTGGGACAAACCAACGCCGTGTCATACAACCCAAAACAGCCACACACAAACAAGTCCCCCACCAACCTATTACAGCTTCCCGGTGTTGCCACCGTGCGTGCTCGAACTACAGTGCACTCACTCCTATGAACTTGTGCAGGACAACAAGGTTGTGCCCACCAAAACAAACACAACCCCCCCCAAGACCTAAGACAACACGACGCGCACGAACAAGAACAAGACAAGACAAGACACAGCAGGTGTAAGGGACGATCTTCCGCACGAGAGCAGCTCGAGAGCACAGAGACACGCGCCGCCGACCCCCCCAAAAAAAGCTCCCCCCCAGCCCCTCCCACCCACCAGTTACCCCTCTCTCTTTAGGCAGCCTTCCCTCACCCTTCCCCCGACAGCTGCCGGAAGAACTTTCGAGTGATGCCCACGGGCTTCTTCTCGTCCAGCTCTCCCGCCCGCTTGCGCGCCACGGGGCTGTAGGCCGGCTCCTTCGCTGACGGCATCACGGGACTGAAGACTGGCGGCGCGAGGCCCGACCCGAGCGCCCGGAGCTTGTCCGCCGTCAGCCGCTGCCCCACCGGGATGTGGTCCTCAGTGGAGACGCTGTGGCGGATGCGCCTCTGGTTTGCCATGTCTCTCTCGCGCGCTGCTACTGCCCCCGGGACGCCCCTTCCCGGCGGAGCTTGAGCTTCATCGTCCTCGTCCATGCCCTCCTTGGGCAAGGTCGAGCGCGTGATGGCCCGAGAAGAGAGGGCCGACATTCGGTCGAGGCTCGACGTGCGGGTCAGGCTCCTCGTGGATTCGTTCTTCAGGAGTGTTCTTCCCGACCCTTCGAACCCGGGGGCCGTCTCCTCGAGACCGCGGCTCTGCTTGCGACCGCCGCTGCTGCCGCTCTCGTTCTTGGACCACGGCTTGCCCACTTCGGCTGAGCGCCTGCCTAATGTTTCGCCCGAAGACCGGCTGCCGCTGCCGCTGCCGCTGTCACCGCTGCCGCCGGCCCCGCGGGAGGGTCTGTACACCCTCGAGGCGGTTTCCCCGCTCCCGTTCCCTCTCCCGTCCCGCCTGTGCGAGAGGAGGCGGGGGAGGGGGCTTTTGCCCGAGTGCCCGCCGCCATCACCGCTAGCCTTGCTGCCGTCGTTATTCTTCCCGTGCGAGCTCAGGTCCCTGATCCGCGGGAGGCCGTCCCTCGACCCCCCGGGCTTGGACGAAGAAGACGTCGGCGAGCGGGAGTGGCCGGAGCCGGAGACGGATGGGTTTCCGGGGCTCCGTTTCGCTGAAGATCCCGATCGCCCCGAGCTGGTCCCCGACGCTCCGGCGGGAGAGCTCGAGCGGACTTGGGTGGGTGTCCTGTTGTTCCTGCCACCCCCGGCGGCCGCCGTGGTCACGACCACCGCCGTCCCGGCGACCGGAGCCTGGCGGTGCGTGGCAGAGGCGCGCCGGGCGCGGCTCGTCGGGCTAGTAGCCGACGGTGCCGGTTTCGCCTCGACCTCGACCGCGGATGCGCGGGCGTCCGCGTACGGGTTGCCCGTCATCACCCTCCCCGGGACGTTCTTCGAGGGGGCCACCGCCACCACCGGCACGCCGTCGCCGTACGGGTTGCCGCCGTTGTTGACCGCCCTGGCCTTGACCACCTTCAGTCCTGGCATGGGACCGTTCCCCGCCGCCGCCACCACCGCCGTCGCCGTCGGCTTCTTGCGGTTGGCCCGCCCGCCGTGCTGCGTCTCCACGTGCTTCACCAGCTGCACCACGTCGGGCAGGCGCAGCCCGCACTCCGGGCACGCCTCATGCGGCGGCGAAGCCGGCGCCGTCGCCGACGCCAACTGCCCAGGCACCATCGCCCCCGCCCCCGTAAGCAGCGCCCCCCGCGCGCTCTGCTCGCTGCGCATGCTCCTCATGCTGCGGCCGCCGATGGACCCCGGCCCCGGCCGCCTCCAAGACTCCTGAAACCTCCCGGAACCGGACACGTAGAGCGACCCCGGGTTGCGGACGGGGCCCGGGTACGGCTGCGGGCGGGCCGGCGGGTTCGGCCGGAGCTTGCGCCCGGGGGCACCGCCGCCGCCGCCGCCCCTGTTGGCCGTGATCTCCCGGCGGTACCTGTTGACCTTGGACCTGTGCCTGCGGCTCTTGTTGCAGCTGCGGCACGCGCACGCCGCGGCGCAGCAGGCGAAGACGCCCAGGGACAGTGCCGCGGCGAACTTCCAAGTCAGGAGGGTGTCCGCAGCCTGGTCGACGAGGTCGGCCCAGTCGCTAGGGTCCTGGGCGGTCGGCAGGGCGTTGGTCTTGATGAACTCGCCGTTCGCGATGACCGCGAAGTTTTGTGTGTCGTACTCGCTGAGCTCGTTGCAACTCACCTGTCGAGTCGTGCGTGTTTGTTGAGCAATTAATCGGGGCGCATCATTGAACGTGGAACGTGTGCGTATGTATTCGGGCGGAGCCAGTCGCGTCACGTAGTCAACCAACTCCACAGAGACATGGTAAAGGGTTCTACACACGGTTCTTCTAAGACGTGGACTTCCGTAAGCCGAACCAACGAGAGGAGCACATACCACCTGCTGCATTGTAGCTTTATTGACAGCCAGCTCCCGAACTTAACTGTGAATAATCAATAGCGTACCACAGGAAAAAAACAACACGAAAAAAACAAGTCGATACAGCAGTACCGACGAAACAAGGCCCAACTCCAACCAGAACTGACCGACTTCGAACAAAAAACGTGTTTCCGTTGCATCTCTAACTCCACCCACTCAAAAACCGCACCCACACCTGACCACAAATGACAAAAAAACAAGAAAAAAGTTTCCGCATTGTCCCGAAATCGCGACCTACCCGTATGATGTAATTCTCGCCCTGGGTGGTGTCGGTGATGGTGATCTTCTCCACGTTGTTGACCGTGTCCGCCTCTTCCAAGCCGTTGGGGTAGTACTCTGTACCTGTCGACTCCGCGATGACGACCAGGTCAAGGTCGTGGATAAGAGCTTCCGTCGACCCCACCGAGGCGGGGGGGTCCGTCCACACCAGCGTGATGCGCAGGTCCTGTTCGGGTTGCCAAAGTCGAAAGATGGAAAAAAGAGGGTGGAGGCAGTCAGAAGACGTACTTCTCCGTTACACAGAGTGGTGGCTCGAGGTGTGGGCAGTCAGAAGACTTATCTGTTACATAGCACAGAACGGTGGGTCGACAAAAATCGTTCTCAGCACACAGGCTGAGGGGGCAGAGCCTTTAGCTGATCCGGCCATGACTACCGCGACCTGAACTTGCACGACTGCTGCTGTCGCGCGGTCTGGCGGCTACAAAAATATTTCACCATGACCGCATCGGATCAAAGCCACACCAAACCAAACCAACCTTATCGGTATCCGCGTCCTCGTACAGCGACACGTCGTAGTCGATGGTCTCCCCCTCGCGGATCTCCACCCAGTCCTCGAAAAAGATGCCCACCGTAGAGTTGATGTTGAGGGCGTTGATCATCGTCACACGGCCGAACCCCTGGGGGGCACGCGCAGAGCAGAAACGGATATTTGCGAATGTCAGCACCACAACATCAAAGAGGGAACGTGGCGAGAACGATGTGTGATCGTAAATTAACCGTCCTTCGCTGATGCGAACCGCACGCAGGCAACAAACCTTCCACGTCCACGATAAGTCGCAAGCGCGCACCTGCTTTTCGTAGCTCTCCCTCACCTCACGCTATGCCAACCTGAAATCAATCTCACCTGGTGGGTATCCGGAGGGGTCGTGAGCGTCACGTCGAGCGTGCCGGAGTCAGGGTTTACCCCAGCGAAAGACATGCCCGTGGCCGAGTTGATCAGGACAGCCTTCAGCAACGCCCCCGACGGGTCGAAACCCAGGCTCTCGTTCTTGCTGCCGGTGTTGTACCAGCCCTCCCGGAAGTACTGTCGGGCCATAGCGCCGTTGCCCGCCACGATGGGGGTGGACATGCTCGTCCCCTGCGGATAATAAGGTTTGCGTTCAAGGGTGAAGGAGGCGGAAAGAGACTCGGGACGTCGAGAATGGAAGGGACGGTACACAGCAACACACACACACCACAAGTTCGTCCGAAGCAGACAGGGCAGCAACACGCAAACACACATGAACACACAAACACACACTATAATACCAAGACTGACGTCGTTTCATTGGTCAGCCGGTCAGCGCCGTCGATGCCAATGATCTTTTCAACCGCACTAAGACTGACGTCTTTTCATTGGTCCGTCTTATTCATTGGTCAGCAGGTTATGTAGTGCGGTCGATGCCAATAATCACAAACACACGCACATACACACACATCTACGGGAAAAAGGGCATGCCCGCTACCACCCCCGCCAGCAGCACCGACCGCCCCGCACCCCAACACCCTGCGGGAAAAAGCCTCCCTTTCTCCCTCACCGTCTGGCTCCCGAACTCGCACGTCTCCCCCGTGGTGTCCGCCGCCGCCGACCAGGTAGGGTCCCCCGGCGCCACGACGTCGGGCTTTATCCTTCCGTCGATCGTCGGTCCCTTGGAGGAGAAGTACGACACGGTGTCCATGTCCTTGCCGGTAACCCCGCCGGACTCGGACGAGCCCACCGCCACGACGTTCTTGCCCTGGGCCGGGGAGAGCACGGTACCCTCGTCATCATCGAGGACGCTGCAGTTGTCGATCAGGTCGTCCGTCGACGTGTCGCCGCAGTTGCCCGCGGCGAACACCACGAGCATGTTCTGGGACAACAACGACGAAAAACAACGCGGCGGAATGTGAGACAAGAGGACGACTGCTGTATCACTTGGTTTGTGTTAATTCTGTTCTGTGCTCTTTGTGAACTAACCGACGTGTTTCGTGCGCTTTTCGCGCATGTGTTTCTGCATGCATGCATGCGCGTGACTATATCGAATCGATTGCAGACACTATTGCAGCGGCTGTGTAGTCAAACACTGCCGTGCCGAAAACAAAAATCAACGCGCATCGAAACTACTACCGGTTTGATTTTTGCCTTGGAACGCGAGGTGCACACAGAGAATCCCACCTCCCAACTGTTCTTGTTTCAACCGATACACTCAGAAAAAATAGATGTGTACAGGTACACGACAGGAAAATAGCCTCCGCACATGACGAAGGACAAGTGCCCATCACCTTATGTCATTCCTGCCCTTCGGCCTGTATCTTAGTCGGACATGCTTGAAGGTTTAGAGACTGGCGGCCGTGTTGTAAGAACTTTCCGTGTCCCTGGATACAAAAAAAAAATTGAGACGGTGTCCGTCTCCACTCTGCAGCACCACCCCTCACCTGGTGGGTGTAGACAAACTCGTCCACCTCGTTGCTGAGGGCAGTATACTCCGTGCTCACGGTGTCCCAGGAGTTGCTGGACGACGGTAGGAGGCAGAGAATGGACCGGGGGGCGGGGGGGGGGGGGGGCCAACCCTTTTTTTGCTTGCCCTATTCTTTTGACCATTTACCCCCCGTCCCTTTCAAAAGGGGGGGGGGGGGGGGGGGGG